GGTTTAGTTGTTTTTGTTTTTGTCGTCCAATGATGGTTTGTTTCATACAATTTTTGGGCTAACTCAAATTTTAAGCCACTAAACCTAACCATCTCATCGGTTAAAATTCTACATTTTTAGGTCACCACACGACCCAGCGGATCATTCACGTAACGCAACAGATCATTCACTTAAGGCCGCGTAAAATGAATTCGGAAGTCCCCGGAAGATATTGATAAATTGTATGAACTCGAAAGAGCCATGTGACCCCTCAATTCTAGTAATTAAATTTATTTTGATTTTGCATTTATATATAAATAGCCATAAATCTGTGATCAAAATGTGTTGTAATGAAAAAAGTTTGCATTACACATGAAGGTGTTTGGCAAATGTCTTTCAAGTCTTTAACAGTAAATTTTAGCTGTAGACTTTTGGTGCAGAGATTTTGGATGTAAGTGATGTGACTGTTATTTTAAATTTTAATAAAAGTTTGTTTGATAATGGAAGATGTATAAGTTATGACTGTTATTTAATAATTATTTGCAAATAACTTTTTTTTTGAAATATATAAATTATGACATAAATCTGATAAAAAGTATCTAAAATAAATTTATTTTTATCATTTCATGTTTTGGTTTAACAACCAAAAGCTTCATCAAGAAGTAGAATAAACTGTAAAACATTTGGATTAAACACTCTAACTTCTAAATCCTTCTTATAAATGCAATATTGCATCTTCAAATACTCTAAAAATATATTTTAAGTTTTCCAACTCAAATCAGCTTTAAAAAACGATCATTGATATAATGAATAATATTTTTTTCTAAAGAGCATTTAAACGAATATCTTCGTTATCCCGGTTTTGATTTTATGTGATAATAATTTATTGATTTATATAAAAATAGATCTCAAAAGAATAATAAAAAATATAATAATTAATCAATCGAAAATTTTACTCATAAACTATATCTAAATCTAAAGAGCTTTAAATTATTTGGGAAAGAAGTGAGAGAAGAAATCATTTCAATTTATTTATTTTCTCAAAGTTAAAGCTTCTCCAACGAAACTTTAGAAACACT